AAGTCAATTAGCCAATATGTTATAGAGATTGTGTCTTCTGTTTGGTTGTATTTTCTTGCTTTGCCTATAGTAATATTCTTCTGTTTATGATTATAAGCAATTATCCAAGGTTTGGGTGTATTTTTGTAGTGTCCAGTAGTGAATGAAATAGAGTTGGTGTGAGATAATTGTAATTGGAAACTAATTAATCTGGATTGATGATCAGCAATAATTGTGTTTTCTAAAGTAGTAAACCATAATGGCTTACAGCCTTTAGATATATGTTGAATTCTTGGAGATATATGTTTTCAGTCAAGTAATACAGAGTTGTCATGTGATGTTAGTTGTTTGAGGTACATTATCTCTTTAGTACGTAGTTGTTTTTTGAATTATTTTAAATTTATATTAATATGTTAGAATACATAATATTAATAACTATTAAGTTTTTTATATTCTTTTTATTTAATAATAAATTTAACATATTAATTTATATTTAACTATTATAGCAAAAATTTTAGCCACTATAGATGATAGTGATAATAACCAAAATGAAGATTCTAATAATAATCATTTAGAAAATACAAATAAAAATTATTTATTTAAAAATAATAATAGTAAAATTTAAAAATAAATAAAACTTTGACTATATATTTATTAATATTTATTATATTTAATATATTTTTTAGTTATTACTAAAAAAAATAATAATCCTCAAGTTAAAATTTGATGTTCCCAATGAGTTACATGTTTTCGACAAACAAATATATATTCTTAGAAAGACCAATTATTTAAAAAACAACTACTTAAGCAATCTCAAAAAAATAAACAATCTTAAAAATAAATATAAACCATCTTTTTATTATTAAAAATTTGTTTTTTAAAGTTAGAGATTGTTATTAAAATAAATATTGATAGAATATTTGAAATATTTAATATTAATAATAATAGTATAATATTTATTAATGCTAATTTGTATGCAATAAAAATTTATATATAATCAAAAATTTATATATATATATATATATTTTTATAGTTAAAGTCTCTATCTTGGAGATGTGATATTTTATTCAAGTTTTGTTAAGAAATAGGTGCCTTTAGGAGCTCCCTTATATTGGAGGTTATAACTAGCCATATGTGCATTTTTGGTGTCTAATTTAAGTAGTCCCTTACACATTGCTATATAAGTTTTATACTAGTTGCTATACCTGCAAGCCAACTAAGAGTCTTGCCTATTTAAACCCTCTGCATATGCAATCCTTCTTGTATTATGAGAACATCTTAAGGCTACACCTATCCAAGTTCCTGATACTTATTATTACTCTTAGGACTACTTTATCCTCAATAGGAAACTTACTAGAGCCTTTATGTTCCACATATATAGACTTAGTTTTATGCAACATGTTATAGTTATCTAATACTTGCAGTCACAAAGGTTAGCTGTTTAACTACTATGTTATATTATTTCTACCCTTGTAAAGTTTACTAGAACCCTAGTACCTATTTTTCTGGCATCTTCATCATCATCTCTTACTAGCCACAATTCAAAACTGTTGGTCTCTATTCAAACTACCAATCCAGATGACCTGATATGGTATACTTATGTATCCTTTTCCTCTAGCAAATCTGGTGGCCTGGTTGGTTATATGCTTTTCTACACATATTTGACATCTGGTTTTAACCTTCAGCTTCTATAAAGGTGTTTCATGAGCTTCAACTAATTTGATAGTACTATTAAAAGTTCATGCTATCTTTTTACTTAGGGATTTCTAAGTAGGTTTCTGTCACCTCAGTTCTTTAGTCTTCTACATCTAATAGAGTAATAGAATAGAGGGCTTTTTAGGTACAAGACTGGTGCATTTTTTAAAACAATTCCATTTTTCTATAGATTTCAGTCTTTTTAGTATATTTCTAATAAACTTATATAAATCTATATGCAGTATTTTTTTTTATATATGACACCTTGTAGTGTATTTTTTGATATCTATTTTGATTACTATTTAGCTTTCTGATCTGGAGGAGCATAGTGACTCTGAATGCGAAGTGTAGCAGAGCATTAGTTATCTATTTAGTCAACAATTAGTTTTTTTAATACTGCAAAGTAAAGTGAAGTAGTAGCATTCTTAAAGTATTCTTTTGATAAAGAGTATAGTAAAAAATATAATTAGCAGAGCAAGCACAGACATGAAGTGTCATTATTTCATAATAAGTGCTAAAAATTTATTACAAAGCAATAAGCTAAACCCTAGGTACATAACAGGTGTATTTTTTGGTCTCATGAAGTAAGAATACTATGACATCTAGCAATATCAATCAATTAAACTTATGCTAATTTTCTGACTCTATGGACACTCTTCAAGCATCTGAAGTCTTACAGAATAAGAATATTTTGTATCTGTTGAGCATAAAACTGCATAACATAATATCCTTTAGCATGTTTTTTACAAGTACCAGGTGCAGAAGAAGTTGGCTTACTACAAACCTTACATAAAATATATTTTTTTGCTCTCCAATGTTTATGATATCCTTCATGACATCAGCATCTATGTCTACAGACTTCTCTGGAGTTGTGTATATATTCATATGTATATTCATCATGCATTTTGATAAATTTATATAACTGAATTAATTATTTTTTATTTAAACAAAAGATCTGGTATATTAATAAAAAAAACTGAAAAAATATATTACTATGGCTAAGATACTTAAATGTTCAGGTTGTGATTGAGAAATAAGAACTGGTAAAACTTAAGATCTTAATAAACACATGAATTTAAATAGAAACCTTCGTAAAGATCAATGTTTACTAGTTTTGCTTATAATGCAAAATGTAGAAAATGTTACTTCAGAGCAAAATACATCTCAAACTGAAAATGTTACTCCAGAGCAAAATCTACTATCAACTCCTGAAGGTGATCTCATATCATTCGATGAAAACCCACAAACACTTCAGCTGAGAGAGGCAAGTGTGCCGGCAGTTGACCCTCGGATAAGAGAATCAGAAATGAGTCAAAGACTCGAAGCTCAACATCCTCGATACTTTGCATCATCTAGTTCAAAGCAAAATAGCATGAGTTACCAAGATAAAACCATCTTAATTCATAAAAATATAACAAATGAATTTGAGTTTTATGATAGAAAAAGAAAATAGTATGGAGTTAAAGAAGATTTTTGCGCATTACATAACAAATATCATTTTATTAAAGCAAATAATGGAGAAACAATTATAGAAACATACAAAAGAATTAATGATGAGTCTGAAGCTATTGCTAAAAAAACCAATGATAGAATTGATATGTGTAAATCTGGAAATTATATATTGTAATAGAATTTATTTTTTTTCTATATTAGTATATATTTATTTTTAGCTCTATATTATATTTTATAATT